TGGCTGATGGATTGAACTTCTTTGCTAAATAATAAAAAAGACAATTTAGGCTTCCCTTGGCTTGCCTGTTTTCTCATAACTCATTCAAAATATTTTTTAAAAATACCAAAACCCCATTATTACGATTTAATTAGTAATAACTAATTATCACTAATTATGGATTAATTATTAATTAGTAATAGCTAATTATTACTAATTAATGGGTTTGGGGTATTTTAAGAAAATACGACTGTTAATTCACTTTTATCCATACTGAGAAGAAGAGAGGGCATATCCATCAATGCATCAGGGGATATATCTGAGGTCCTGAGAGTGTAATCTCCAAGCTTTGCAGGGTATCATTAATGGCCTTGGAGATAAAGCGTTGTTTTATTGCATTCCTTCTTTAATGATTTAGGTAGGTTACGTGACTTTAGGCACTTCAATTCCTTTTTCATTGTTGGATGTGCTTAAAGGTTAGAGAGAACAAATTTAAATTTCTTTCTTCCACTTTTCTAAAGATGTCTCTGATGTTATGAAGCATAACACAAGGGTTCTATGGTACAACATCTATGGCAAACAAAACAATTTCAATGGTTGCTTGAATTTCTGAACCACCATGACACTTCTGAACACCTTGGATAGTATATGATTTAATACTAAAGAGAAATTACTAAAATAGCAGTTGAGGGCATTTGTAATTCAATAGTTTTTCTTCAGCTAAATCTCACCACTAGGCACACTTTTATATTCAGTAAGTATAATATTTTTATTTGACAGTTCCTGATATAAAGAAATGACAGTTACGGATTCTTCATATTAACCTAAGTAATGTATTGCTTTATCAATGGTGTTCACATGAAAGGCTTTGTGACAACATGAGTATAATTAGTGCTTCTCAAAGTGTGGTCATTAGTACCAGCAGCAGCAGCGTCACCTGGAGGTTTATCTGAGACGCAAATTCTCAGGGCTGCTCCAGATTCATGGAACCGAAATATCTGACAAGTGACACCAAGTGAATCTGTATTTTGATAAGCCTTTCAGGCAACTCTAATGCAGGCTACAGTTGGAGAGACACTGGTATGGAAGGCATGATGATACTCATTTAATAGATGACAAAATTGCTGCTCAGTGTGGTAAAGTGATTGACTGAATACAGGATAATTAATTTTAAGGTCCTCACTCAGACCCAAGTTTTCTGCGTGTATACCCTGTGATCTCTCTCTCAAAGAGAAAAGTAAAGAAATAATGAATTCCACAAAGCTGGAAAAACAGAAACTCTTAAACACTTAAACGAAATGAGAAAGGGCAGAAAGGGGCCATATCACTGCTTTATTGTAATGAGAGTGCGTTGTTAAAACTATTGTCACAAAAACATTAACCTAGAAAAAGTTTTAATGGTATAAGAATCACTTTTGTGGTCGTACATTGGCTTCCTCATTTCCTTTTTAGTGTCTGAGAGAAAGAAATGCAGTTAAACTCCAGAGGGGTGGCTGTGGCATGTTAATAGAAGTGGGAGACAGTATTTTATGCATTGCTTTCTAGCCAAATTAGTTCATGGACAGCGTTTCCACCTAGGTCTTTCCTACGCCACATTACCCTTCATGATAGCGCCCTGCGGTGGTTTTCATGCCCACAGTTGGCGTTAACTACCCCTTGGTGGCTTGGGGAATGAATCCTGAAAGTGGAATGCAGCTTTCATTATCTGTAATGCAAAAGTCTGTATAGTGATACCTGCTAAGATCTAGTTCTTTTTGAACTCAATTTCGCTTTGTGTGTATAATCAAACAAGTTATGTTTAAATCTATTGTCTCTTCAACTGGGAGGAATTTCCTTAAATAGAAAATATTATAGGCTGGGTACAGTGGCTATGCTTGTAATCCCAGGCTTTGGGAGGCCAAGGCGGGATCACTTGAGGTCTGGAGTTCAAGACCAGCCTGGCCAACGTAGCAAGACCCCATATCTACTAAAAGTACAAAAATTAGCTGAGCATTGTGGTGTGTACCTGTAATTTCAGCTACCTGGGGGCTAAAACATGAGAATCATTTGAACCTGGGAAGAGGAGATTGCAGTGAGTTGAGACTGTACCACTGCACTTTAGCCTGGGTGATGGAGTGAGACTGTGTCTCAAAATATATATATATATATAGAGAGAGATTATAATATGTATATAAATATATATAGATATAGATAGATATAGATTAGGTAAACATAGTACTGTGTGTGTGAGAGAGAGAGAGATTTTTATCCTACATGATGTAAAACATCACGCAACATATAAGAAAAATAACATCAAACATAAATGTTAGTGTTTTATAAATAATTATGTAGAGAACAACCATGTAACAACTACTAAATCCCAAAGTGATTTCGCTAATGCTCCGTATACCTCTGTGACATATCCTAAGTGAGTTGTAGTTTTCTGTACACAATTCCTGCCTCTGTGAATTTGTACCTGCAGTTTCTTCTCTTTGAAACCACCACCCACCCTCCCACCCCAACCACACAGTTATAAGGCTGGCAAATTCTGTCTCACCCTTGTGTACTGACTGACATCATGCCATTGCTCTCTGTCACCCATGTCTGTGGGGCACTTTGAAATATCTTTTTTAGCATTTAATAATTGGTTTGTTTGTGATCTCATCAAAACTGGGATATTATTTTTGAATGTTTTAGTTTAACACTCAATACTGGTGTGTACCTGATACATTGAATGCATTCAATAAATAATGCTCCAGTGAATTAATTACTGGCATTTCCACTTGGATAAACCCCTCGAACCATTATCTCCAGAATGCACTATCATTTTGCCGAAACTTCTGAGTTTCAATGTAGGGAAGGTGGAAACTGCAGCAGGTTTTATGGCTTCCCTCTTTGCTTCAGTCAGTTCCTCCATGGCGTCTCTCTCCTCTTTCTTTCAGTTACCTACCTTCATTTTGTCTCTCGTCTCTCAAATCTCCACTTAGTTCCCATCTTCTAGATTAAACTTCTTCAAGCTTGGTTTCCTTACGTTTCTCCTCTTCCAGAAAATATGTTGGTTGTCATTGCTGCAGAGATGAAGAAACTTGAGCGTATGCTTAACTTACTCATGTCTGGTTTTTCCACCGTTTCTTCAGTGAGGGCTCTATCATGTGCATTTGCCTAAGTGGAGCACTGAACATGGTTGAGACCATTGTTTTCTAACACTCATAGGCAACCTCCAGTATTGTGGATGGTGTGGCCTTTGGGTAACTGTGGCACCAGTTGCTCTGTCCTGCAAGGTCCTTGCTGGGTTGTCACCTGTCACACCCCAGGGATTGGGAGGATTTCTACAGGGTCAGACACAGCATGCAATGGGCTAAGGAATCTTCTAAAATGGGGAAAGGTAATTTATAAGATCAGGGTGAGCAAGAGCAGAGACCCACTGTTTCCTGTCCACCCTTCATCCCACAGAGAGGTATATCAGTTGTTCTGTTGGACCTGCTGTGTGGGTTTGCATTCCAGGGGTGAGGCTTCACCTTTAGTTTGGCCCTCATTACATGACAGTCTTAGGTGCAGGAAAATAATCAGACCAGTTTGCACCAGATATTTGGAACTGGCGGCAGCTGTTTAAAGAAGTTGCCTAAGAATAAAAGGTGCTGGTTCTTAGGGAGCTTGGCCAGTGAGAAGTTACAGACACTCCTATCCAGAGGGTCTACTGGCAGCTGAAAGAGGATGCAGTGCATTCTGGTGGGAGAAGGGGACTCGATGCTCCATCCAACTTGCTCGCTGTCCAGGAATCATAGTTTGAACATCTGGAGTCACTATAAGACAACTGCTCATTGCACCGCAGTCCTACCTGGCTGGTGGTGGAGTCCACTGTCTAATGCAGTGACCTGTGTGTGTCACAAAACTCATGGCTCAGTCTCCTTAGGCAGACATTTAGAGTTTCCATCCTTTGGCCCATATTCCTTTCTGGTGTTATCTCCCATGACTTCTTGACACATGTTCTATGCTCTAGCCAACTGGAATACTAAATGTCCTGCCACGTGAATCCCCTTCCATCCTTCTACACCACTGTGCCTGCACTTTTGCAGTTCTTTAATCCTGGATGCTTCTCTGTCTTTCTCCCTACCTCCTTTCCCTGCAATTTTCTCTGTCTCTGAAGGCCATTAATACCTCAAGGTTCAGCCAAAACCTCTGGACTTTTCTCATCTAGGCATTTCCTCATATTTTCCCCTCCAACTGGGAGGAGCCCTCTTCCTCCCCACTTCTTTTCTCCAAGCTTAATGACTTCTCATAAACTTTTCTCTGAGATCCTAGGAGAAAAACTGTGTTTTCTTTGCTACCCCGCCTCCTCCATAGCAGTTAACTTGAAAATTGGCATTAATACATTCCCTTTTGTCTTACACATATACATTTATTTACACTTCTATTTGATGGCAAGTCCATCCAGAAAAGAAATCACATTTTGTGTGTCTTATTCCCTTGAATAACTTTCGTATTATTGGTGTTCAATGATGGGTAATGATTAATTGAAAAGATCAGGGCATGAGGTATGTGTATAAAAGGCTGGGGACTGGGGGAGGCAGATTTGTATCTCTGCCTTGGCCAGATAAGCTGGGTATGTGTGTAAGCCAATGGGAGCATCTCCCTACATCTTCCTCCCTAATCCTTCTCCCTCAAACATCCTCCCTAATCCTTCTCCCCACCGACACACCCTTGTACCCTCACTTACACTCAGAATGACTCCAGAATTATATTCAACAGGAAGAACAAGCGGAATTGATTCATTGTGATTTAGGAATGGCTTATAGAATAGACTGGGGACATAACCACACACTTTTTGTTTTCAAAATGTATAACTGAGCAGTTAACAGTTAGCTACCCTTTTGTTTCCATTCTAATTCAGTTGAGAAGTGGTATAAGAGGAAAGAAATATCTCAACTGCAGAGAAGTCTTCAGTCAAGTCTCAAGATTTTTTTTAAGTGATGTCAATGACATAAAACAAAGAAGAAAGATCCGTGTGGTTGCTTAATGATTTTACATTTTTTGCCTTCCAGGAGACAGAGCTACTGGATCTCAGCCTTGTCAAAGATGCCAGATGTGGGAGACACGCCAAAGCTCCCAAGGTAGGAGGCTGAGTATTATGCATGCACCAGATACTGCCTTGATTGTTTAACTGTGTCACGATATCAATTAATTGCCCCAATTAAAAGTTTCTATATTGTAGATGTTGTAAAACACAACAGCCAGTATGCCCTAAACACTTTTTACTTTTATTAAAGATGGAAACAATGAACAAATATGTGGGCTGTTAGACATAGGGGCTTGCTTTATGTCCTCTAATTTTGCCTTTGTTTGAAAAACAACAACAACAACAATGCCAAAGTTACTGGATGATTAAAATGTACTTGAAATTATTTGAAAAAATCCTTTAACCTCGTAAGCAAATGGGAACTCACCGTTAGACATGATGAATGAAACTCCCATATTGCTCTGCGACTGAAATGATTCTATCCATGATGCCAAAAGATGTCTAGTCTTAATTCTGCAAATGTTACTAGTGAAGATCAGCATACTTTGGGATGACTTGTGTGCCATGTCATTTGTTTTGGTTTGAAAAACTTACAGAAGAAATAGTCAAAGAAGTGTTTGCAGTCTATTTTTTGAAGATTATTTTTAAATATTGGATGAAGAACACAATTTTTTTTAAAGCTTAGATGATCTGGTAGGGTATACTAGCAGGATGTGTTGACTTGCCATCAAAGTTAAAAACTGTTCTTCATTGTGTTTAAAATTTACTGCTTTTCATACTTCATTTCTAGCAGAGAGGGTATTGGCAAACACGGAAGTATGGTTGCCATTTAGGAGCTCAATACCTCTTTCTATAATTGATATAAAACTAGCTATTTTTCTATCTGTCTTCCCACAACTTTTGTTTTATTTTTAAAAGTCAAAATTCTTTCTTGACATCAAAATGCTTTGTTGCTTTGGAGATGCAAGAAAAAAACTCACGTGGAATAGTTATTCTTCAGAGATATAACAAGGTAGTAGGTGCCAATAAATTCTATGACACAGCTACTGTTTTTTTTTTTTTTTCTTTTTTTCTGAAAGGGTTAAAATGATCTATTGCAAAATGTAAAAAATTAGGACTTTTAGAAAGAAAAATAAGAACTGTTTTCATGAAGGCTTCCTGTGTTTCATATGAAATTAGTCTGTTATTTACATTTATCTCCTTAGTAACACAGAATTTCAGTAGTTTAGCCTGAGTTTTGTATCAGACTTACCATAATTAATGCTTTGTTGATGATTCAAAATTTCTCAGTTTTAGTATAGAAAATAATATTTTTTCTTCTTTCCCCAACAACATTTCGGCCAAGTTTCATGTAAGTCTGTTAGTTCCAAGAACTACATTGAAAATGTAGCTATAAAATTTGTCTTGAACCTAAGTTTATTGGCCTAACTTACAATTTCAGTATCAATATTATTAAAGACAGTTGATGAGACCGCATCAGAGCCCCCTTTGTCTCCAGGCATTAAAAGTCAAAGTGAATTCTGCTGCCACATGGAGGGTTTCTTTCAGGCTTGGATCTGTATCTTTTATTGCAATACACAGCTTGCTTATCAGTTAAGTGTTTCGTTTATGGATGTGTTTGATAAATGTCTACTGCACAGTGACAAATGAACAGAAGTAGGGTCTGTACTGTGCTCAGCTGATAAACCACTCTTAGATACTAAAATGCTTCTCTTGAGGATGGATTTTTAACCCTCAGAATACTCTGATTTGGACTGCTTTTTTTCATCAACTCTTTCTTGGAGGGACAGATTGCTTTCTCTGTAGATTATCTATGCTCCTGGCTTCATTTTTTTCCTTTTCCTGTCCCTTGCTGGTGGTCAGGAACCTCACTCTCGTTTAATATTTTCAAAGTCTGGTCCTATTAAATATTACCTGTGTGGCTTTCCTGAGACTCAGACTCCTTCCACGCTGGCTAAATGGCAACAATAATGATAATAATAAGTACTTGACACTATTGCTATAAGGATTACAAGAAATAATTCATTAGCAAACCTTTAGCACAGGAATTCTTAAATTTAGCTGCTCATGGAATTGCCTGGGAAACATTAAAAAATGCTGATGTGTGTTTTCCACCTCCAAAAATGCTGATACCATAAGAATCAAATTGATGTAGGTGTGCCATGGGCGTCACGGATTTGAAAATCAAATTTGCACAAAATTTGAGCACCACTGCCTTAACTTGCTATCGGTGTATAATAAGTACTTACTAAATATTAGGCAATATTGTTGGTAATAACATTGTTTTTGTTATTACTAAAAAATTCAAGTCAGAATTATAGAAGGCCACTTTTCATTTCACTCACTTAATTTGGAAAAGTTTATGTTAGCAACAAGAATCAGAAGTAGGGCTTATCAAAGGGGGTTGACAGGAAAGAAAGAAGTTGCTATTACTATCAGTTTAAAATCTCCAAATTTCCTGCTCAAATTGGATAACTAAGAATATAATTTATTGAAAATGACTGGAATGTATTGAAAATTTCAGTGGAATTGCCAAATTCAGGTAAAGTTTCATTCCACTGCTCAATTAATGTCACCGAGGACTAGGTGCCTCTTTTTTTCATTAATATGCCATCCAAGGTTCTGGAAGGGGTTCTGATATGGTTTGGCTGTGTCTCCACACAAAATCTCATCCTGAATTATAATCCCCATCATCCCCTTGGTTCAAGGGAGAGACCAGGTGGAGGTAATTGAACCATGGGGGCAGTTCCCCTTGTGTTCTCCTGATAGTGAGTGAGTTCTGATGAGATCTGATGGTTTTGAGTTCAGTAGTTCCTCCTGAGTTCATTCTCTCTCCTGCTACCTTGTGAGAAAGGTGCCTGCCTTCCCTTCATCTTCCACCATAAATGTAAGTTTCCTGAGGCCTCCTCAGTCATACAAAACTGTGAGTCAATTAAACTTCTTTGTTTTATTAACTACCATCTCAGGAAGTTCTTTATAGCAGTGTGAGAACAGACTAATACAGGGTCCTTTTCCATCTTCAGGTTCCCCTTGGATACTACCCTTTGAACACCACACTTGGCAGCTCCCAGCCTCCCCTCCTAACAGTTTCATATGGGGTGGGCCAAAAGAGAGACTAACTGTCGATCAGATAATTGCATCAGGATTACAGTATAACTACCCTGTAGAAGGTGTAGGCCTGCGAAAGGAAAACTAGTCCATTGAATTGGTTAGAACAAAAGCACCAGTAGGACTTAGAGTAGAAGATTAAAAGTATAAAGATATCAGGATAAAGTGAATAAATCTTTGAAACTTGTGACAGAAAGGCAATGTAACAAAAGGACAGATTGAGTGCAAGACTTTCTGCGGGGGCTTATAGACCATAAAGGAAGAAAGAACATTTGTGAAACAGATATTTGTCAAAATACTCAGGCACCCCACAAATATTTATCTCTATATTCATATTATTTGTTTTTTACAGCATCTCATTACATAAAAATTCAAGATCTAGTTGAAAATGAACTGTTTTCTGTGCCTGCTGTGATTTGAAATAACATTTATAGGAAATGGAAAAGCTTCCATGTGTTACCCTGTTTATGAATTTAAATGTCAACACCCAACACAATACATGCAATTCCAGATCTTCTTTTCTGTATATAACCTTTGTTCAAGTTACCAGTTTTAAAATTTCATGTGAGAGGGAAATTGAGAGATTTTTATCTACATGTAAAAACCAAAAGAAAAAAGAAACATGTTATCCTTTGAAATCTAAAAGGTACTTACTTTAATTTCTTGCTCTCTCTCTCCCTCATTCCACCCTCCCAGGTTTGTGAAGCACATGCAAGGGCAAGATGCTGTGGTATAATCTTGTCTGAGCTATATACATGTACTTTCTGGATCATCACTTCAAAAAGATCTTTGCTTTTAAAAAAAGTATTTATCACTGTGGCCTCTGATGTATTAGTAGTTTCTGACCCATCAGAGCCATTCAGTAGCTCATGTGCAGCTTTCATAAAATAAAACACACTTGCCAAGAGTAGAAAAGAAACTTGTCTTGTACAGAATAAGTTGTTTTGTGAAGCTTTTTTCATGCATGTTACTGTATGTTCTGACTCACAGTATGAAGTGTAATTTTTACTGTCGGCAATACATAGTGGAGAAGTTTCAAAAATTATGCTGCACAAGATCATTTCCTCATCCTCATGATTCTCAGCTGTATTGAGTGCTTAGAGGTATGGAAAAGTAACTGAAAGTAGGTGAAACTAGGAAAGTGGAGATGTGTGTTCAAGTGCCAGCTTTGCCATTAACAGGCATAAAGAAGTTGTGCTGGCTGGGTGCAGTGGCTCACGCCTGTAATCCCAGCACTTTGGGAGGCTGAGGCGGGCGGATCACCAGGTCAGGAGATCGAGACCATCCTGGCCAACATGATGAAATCCCATCTCTACTAAAGATACAAAAATTAGCTGGGCTTGGTGGCATGTGCATGTAGTCATAGCTACTCGGGAGGCTGAGGCAGGAGAATTGCTTGAACCCAGGAGGCGGAGGTTGCAGTGAGACGAGATCGCGCCATTGCACTCCAGCCTGGCTCCTGGTGACAGAGTGAAACTCTATCTCAAAAAAAAAAAAAAAAAAAAAAAAAAGAAGTTGTGCTGTCTGCCAGCACCTCTGCTTCCTCATCTATGAAATGGGGCATGGAGTAAATGGTTTTAGGTGTGTAAGTTCCGTTAGCCCTTGATTCCAGCTTTTAAATTGAGAAGTTAGACACACAAGACTTTCCATCTTACATATTCTAAAACTGATGTTGAATATGTTTACATAACCTGAAACTTCTTACCTTTGCCATACAAACCAAGTGAACCCAAAACAAAAAGTCACACTCTAGCCAAGGTAAGGTGCTATGCCAACAAAAAGAATAAAAGACTTGTGTCAAGCTTCTTTATGCATGGCTTCTCAGAAGCATTCTAGGATTGCTTTTGGATGCCACAGGGAGCAACCTCATGGTCACAGAGGCCCTCCCAACTTTAGTACCTGAAAACTGCATACTGACAATTTCCAGCTCTCAAGAATGCATGCAGCAATGTCATTGAAAAATATTTTAATAGTTACACAAAATAA